TGCTCTTCTTCATTAAAGTCAGCCAATATTATGCAACAATAATAAATAGAAAAGAAATTACCTAGACCAGGGTTTCCCAAACTATGGGTCGCGACCCAGTGGTGGGTCGCGAGCGAACATTGAGTGGGCCCTGCCTGTAGAACGACACACCACCCTACCGATGCGAGTCCTATAATTAGGTACATTGGTAACGGTTAAATTTTCTATAGGTGGGTCTCGAGCTTGGGAACTTGTATTAGATGAGTCGTAGACCAGACAACTATGGGAACCACTGACCTAGACACAAAGGTTTTCTTCAAAAGTTTCACCAATTTTAACTCTGTAACATTAAGATAAACCTTTCTTTTCGCACACTTTCTTTGTTCTCTAATAAAAGCCTTGGCACGCCATATCCACCATCATACAAGCCATTTTCTATAGGTGGGTCTCGAGCTTGGGAACTTGTATTAGATGAGTCGTAGACCAGACAACTATGGGAACCACTGACCTAGACACAAAGGTTTTCTTCAAAAGTTTCACCAATTTTAACTCTGTAACATTAAGATAAACCTTTCTTTTCGCACAAAATCAAACACTTTCTTTGTTCTCTAATAAAAGCCTTGGCACGCCATATCCACCATCATACAAGCCATTTAATTTTATTCAAAGCGTCAAGCCATGAAACGAATGGCTTTCAAAGAAAGGATTTGTCTAACATGGTTAACTTTTAGCAATAAATGGGTAGAAAAGTTTTCAATGTAAATAATGGATGTGGTGAGGATTTTACAGTTGAATCCACGTTCTTAGAAAAGACAGATAATACATCGGCAACTCTTTTAGTAATACGAATATTATTTTGACTATGCAGGGTGCAATTTTGTAATGCCACCTGGAGGGAAAGTAATCTTAATACTGTAGATAGAAAATTTTACTGAAAGAAAACTTTTCTATCTTTATTTTTGAAAAGAAAGAGAACTGCATTAAAAGATTTGAGAGCATTAGAAAATTCCTTGCCTACCCTACCATACAATTTCCTGTACATAGTTAAAATAATTTAAGATTTAATGATTTTCCTTTCATTTAATTTATCAAGTTTGTTAGAGAGATTTAATCCTTATACTTAACCCTAACGATCGATGCAATAAAAATTCAGGGTGTAATTTTTACCAGATTTTAGTTGGTTCGAAATCCGGGTGTGGAAGCAAATTTTGGAAATTTTTGAATGCAGTTCTATTTCTTTTCAAAAATAAAGGAATGTTTTCTTTGAGAAAAAATGTCTATCTACAATATTAAGATTACTTTCCCTCCAGGTGGCATTACAAAATTCCACCCTGTAGAATACATTTCATAGAATAGACTGCTTACTTTCAATCTAATGACTGACCCATCTGATTGCTTCAAGCTATATTAGCTACATTAAGGCTGGGTTACACCATCTTACTTTAACTTTGACAAACATCAAAAATCTGTCAAACTCCTTCAATAAACACCGGTTATCGTTATAGTTAGGTACGGTCAAAGTTAGGTGGTGCAACTGAGCCCAACACTTTTGTGAACAAGATATTTCATGATAAAATCAACTGAAACACTGTTACTGAACTGTGATCTCTATGTACGAGTACATCATTTCATAGAAATCAATCAAAGATAGGTTAACTCAAATATTCTGGACAGAAGGTGTCAACGTAAGTCAGTCTTTTTGAATTCTTACTAGTAATATAGACTCATGAGAGTCCCTTTTCTCTCATCACTGATCCTTAATTCAAAAATTCCATTAGTTTAGCTTGCATCACTTTTTCCTTAATCAATCACTCATTGCCTCTTTATTGTCAAGCACGTGTTATGAAATGTACTCAAAAAATAGCACTCGAGTGTATGTCCTTGAAACGATTTCGACAGTTTATTTTCCGATAAACAGTGCAACATACTATAGTTTACTATGTTGTGATACATGCGTTAGTTTACGGCGCCGCGTCATTTATTTAATGTTTACTTTTCGCTATCGCTATCGCCATGATATGCGGTACAGTCGTGATATGAAGTGTTTTGTAAAAAAGAAAGTTACCATTTCTTTTAACTGGACATCTAACTAAAATATAAGAAAGAAGGTAAAAAAGTCAATTTATTCATTATCTACAAAAGCATTGTGTTCAGTCACCTAAATCTGTATACAATACCATATTTTTCTTTTATCTTTTTCAAGCCTGACGAAATACATAATGATGAGCGGCTATCAGGCGACCTAGTCAAGGCAGTTACTAGGCTCGTGGCCTTTTTTTTGGGATTATCCTTAACCTAAATATTTTAGAAATAAGTATATTTTTCAGTCTCAAAAAAGAGACATTACGAGAATTATCTTCGTGACCCACATATGGGACTAAACCTTAATATTTTAGAAACATATTTTGTGGTCCCAAAAAAAGGCATTACGAAAATTATATTCGTGACCCACCGTGTTAAGCCGCTACGCTCAATTGTTTTATAAAATAATGCAACAAGATCCATAACCGACATGAGGCATCCCGCAAACTTTCCTGCGCTCCTCTTATTAAGTGCAATAAACTTGAATCACTAAAATAAATCGAGACCCACATATTATTATGGGACTGTCAAAGTGTTAAGCCGCTACGCTTCAATTGTTTTCTAAAACAATGCAACAACATCCATACCCGGCACGAAGCATCCCTCAAACTTTTTACCGCGCTCCTCTTAAATAAGAGAATTAAACTTGATTCACTAAAATAAATTGTGACCCACATATGGGACTGTCAAAGTGTTAAGCCGCTACGCTTCAATTGTTTTCTAAAACAATGCAACTACATCCATACCCGGCACGACGCATCCCCCAAACTTTTTCCAGCGCTCCTCATAATAAATGAATTAAACTTGATTCACTAAAATAAATTGTGACCCACATATGGGACTGTCAAAGTGTTAAGCCGCTACGCTTCAATTGTTTTCTAAAACAATGCAACAACATCCACGCCAGCACGAAGCGTCCCGCGAACTTTGTCCCGCGCTCTTAATAAGTGAATTAAACTTGATTCACTGCCGGTATTTTTAGCGGGACGTGCGAAGCCGGAGTTCGCTTTGAACCCGGATAATTACGGTTAAAACTTCGCCAGTATGAAGTCGACGAGGTACGTTTCGAAATACGATTCATTAGATTTATTTCCAATGTATCTTTAATGATTCGGTTTTTCTAACAAGCTCAACTTGGATATTGGCTTATGTGAAACTGTTCCACAAAATATTTATAGAAAGAACAATAGTTGCAAAGGTTAATTAATTTCATGTTTTGTTATCTCTTATTTAATTTTACATGATGCATGCAATTCGCCCTAAAACCTATAAAAAAACCACAACTAAAATACTCTAGGACATGAAACTTTTTAATCCCTTTGTAACTACATACTAGAAACTACTCCTACTTTAATTAACTGGTGAAACTACGTCCACCTATTTTAAATCGAGATGAGAGCTTAAAAACCCCACTATGCTTTTATTTACAACAGTGCTGTGAAGCCACAAACATAGCAGTAACAATTTTTAAAATTTCTTTGACTTATATACGAGTATAAATGTAACATTATTGCCCACATATTGACGAAAAATACCACTAAAATCAAGCGTATTCACTCCACACGTACGACACTATCCGTATTAATTCAACGAAGTTGACGAACTCCAGCGTCTGTTGGGAGTCACACCAACTTTTTGGATCCCAACTTGCAGCAAGTCCGTAATCAAATTGTTAAACTCGCGGGTTACTTTTAAGACGTGGATAGACGCATTCAAAGGGGTTGTGATTGTGAAAGCCACATACCTACAGAATTACACGCTGACTATGTGTCTAGTTACGTAATTTAATATCGACATCAGCTAAACTAAAGCTCAGTCTGGGTCTGTACTTTTACATAAGTATAAGCATATCTAATCTACGCCAATTTATTCTTGGAAATTCTCTTTCGCCTCGAATAATCGTTCCCTCAATATTAACAATAAGAATATTCAAAATGAAATCAACGTTATGGTATTGTTGTAAGTTGTATGGAGCATTTCTAAGCTTAACGCTTTCTGATAAATCACGTGGTAATTATTACTCTTTGAAAAGATATTTAATAACAATATTTCAAAATAATAAACACTTTAGAACAACAAAATACAATACACAACCCAAAGTACTTAACTCAAAAGGCCGTTAATTCAAAAGAAGGTACCCAGGTAGTTCAATCCATATAAACAAAGACCAAAAACAATAGAGAGTATACCTGTTATAAGAGGTCTGGTCAGCTGACCAAAAAGCTGTAGTAGTCAGTTGTTGTTCAAAGCTTGAGCTTACACGTTGTGTGAATTGACGTCAGTCATAAAAGTGTCAATATTATTCATAAACTGTCATAATCGTGCCAGAACTTTAGTAATAATGAACAATATTTGTATTTTGACCGCGTTATTAATTGCGACTAAATGCAGTGGACTAGTGATACCAAATCAATACGAAAACCTGTGGACAAAACAAAATATACCCTCGAACGACCTGCAAAGTGACCAAAATGACGAGTTCAACGCAAAATTAGTGATAAAAGAAGATATTGTGGTAAAAGAAATCGTAACAGGTTCAAATCATGAACAAAACAAAAATACCTATGAAATAGCATTAACAGGTTTTAGTGAACTCTTGAAAGTCTGTAAATCATTTTTCAGACCAGATGACACAAATCCAAATGAAGTTGAAATGACACCTACAGTTTCAAAAGAAGATTGTGAAGATTCGCTGTCTAATGAAGTTCGTGATACCAAAAAGCGGGAACCAGATCCATCAGATGAAAAAGAGCCAGAATGTGAGAAAGGATTTGTTTCTATTAAGGATGAAAAGTGCATCTTAGCGTCGAAGAGAACGATTCGAACGAGCGAACACACGGTTTCTGTTCCTAACCAATGCCCAAATGGTTACAGAGCAGACAGGACCGGCTACTGTAGAAAGAATTTTTAGTGTTAAACATACTATTTTGGACTTTATTGTGAAATAATATTAGGTCCAACACCATGGACTATTTTATAAGAAAATTATTTCGGGTACTCATAATAATTCATAACACTCGTGCACCCGACTGTCCTCGACGCATCGCATCTTATCTATCTTATCGCGCCAACTTCTTCCATTACTGCCACCATTGTACCACCATTGTTAACAAAAAAATGAACCTCGTTTGTTTGTTTGGCATTTTATTTATCGCGGCCGAAACCAGCGGATTTGCCGAAGCCAGCCAGCGCAAAGGGGAACTCCGACAAAGGATACTCTTAAGGAAATTGCAAAGTTTCCAGCGAAACGACGCAACAAACCCAGAATCAGTAACATGGAACGAGATACTTGCAGACGCATTGGTGACTAAACTCAACGTATTCTCAAGGGACAAAAATATCGACGTTGCTCCTCCGAAGAAAAATGTAGCAACGGTGTGTTTGAGCGAGATTTTGACGTTTTTCAAGTCGGTCTACGACAACTTCAAGCAGAAGCCAAGTGACCACAACGCTGTAGTCACTCAGATTGAATCAAAACCTAAAGAAGAAGTTGAAGTCATACATCCAACTTTCAAAATGAAAAGATGTGAGGATTGCACTGACGGAGATGGAGTTGTCTCTAGTATGGTACCAGTTCTGGAATGTCCTACAGGATTCGTGCTAGACAAGGATGGCAAATGCATCACGGCTCCTTCTAAATTAATTATGGCTATCCCTAACCAATGTCCAAATGGTTACAGACGCGACCGACTGGGCTATTGTAGACTAGCTTTTTAGTGGGATTGCGTGAAGTGAAAAACAAGTGTTTAAAGGTGTGATATAACGTGTACCTTATAGGGTAAACCGACAGTCATTGGACGCTGCCAGTCATTGGACAAAACAACCCTTGAATTTTCTTAAAATGAATATTCCTTCAAATACAATGAATATTCCTTAAAAAAAAAACGCCCTTTTATCGCCATCAGTCGGAATCTCTCAGTTGTTGAAATAGAAATGCTATTTTTAATTCAGTAAATAACTGTTCAATAACTTTCTTAAGTGTCCAATGACTGGCAGTTTATCCTACTGAAGAATAATGTACGACATTTCAGAGAAGTGAGTAGGTAAAGTTTTTCTATTTTTTCTTATTGTAATTATTAGGTAGTTAGTATAATTTATCACATATTCATGTGAAATGTCACCACCAGCATTACCTATAAATCATAAATAGTGCCTTGTTCTCCAGTGTACACTTGTAATTTTTCTTTAAATGCAATAAACATTGAAAACTGAAATATATTTTTGAGACATTTATAACGAGTTTTTCATTTTATAACGTATTTAGGCCATTCATCAAAATGTTTGCATAATTTAAGTCTCTGTTCGGTCAGCAAAATAATCTTTATAGGTATGAGTACCTTTTAATTCGTTCTCAATTCTAATTAATGCAAAAATTATATTATAAAAGTAAGAAATTGATCACTTACTTCATTGATAACAAGCCAAATTTTTCTCTCGTAATCATTACCTGAAACGAACATTAAATTATTACTGAGTTTCAGTTCAGTCAGACTGTATAAAACCAAAGTTCGAAACACGTGCTTCCAGTGAAAACTATCCGGTTTTAGTTAGTCAAAAAACGCTTCAGTTCGCACTCTCATTAAAAGTTGCCAACTTGGTACTAATTACGATACGACAACGTCAGCAATTAGTTGCAGCTTCACTTGTTTTTACAGAGTTTGTAGGTAAAGGTAAAACATGATGTGCGTTGCAAAGTTTCAGATTTGAGTGCGCAAGACTGTGGAAAATGCGGATAAAAACAATGTGGAAGCTGGAATGTTTTTCCAGGATTTTTGAGCACGACAAGATTTGCACGTTTGGAACTAAGCGATTTTGGGTAAGTAAATGTTTTTGAAATTATTTTTCTCAACTACTCCTATACAACTTTATCTAGCAATCAAAATCAAAATCTAAAATATCTATTCAGTTTAGACCACAAGTGGCACTTATGAACGTCAAAATAAATAATAAAAAATAAAAGAAAAGGTAGCCCTTATGGCCCCAATTTCAGTAAAAAGACTGATTTCAGGCCAATGAAAACGTAACACTAATGAAACCAATTTCAAATTCTCCTCTGAAACTTGACTTTTTAGACTACGTCACCTGGTACATTAATTATATGAAGTATACTATCTAAGAGTTTGATAAAATGTATTGCAAAATACTACGTCTACTCATAAAGCAAACACCTTACTACAAACTTCAGATACCACGGTTAAAAAAAGAATGAAGATGAAGAAGATTCAGCAAACATGTTTATTTCATTCATTCTTTAACCTGTTGATTCTTATTTGTCCAAAGCGATTACATCGAACCTTCAAAGCAAGCACCTTATTTCAGTGATTCAATGCCGCGGCAGTCAATCGCCGGCCCTTTGATCGCAGAGCCTATATCCGGTGCAGGTCGCGTGAAATTGCCCTGCGATTGTCTGCTTCTAAAAGAACCGCTTGTGAAACAGATTGACATTACATCCTGAGTGGAACTTGTGTGACGTTTATTTGAGTTGGAGTTTGATAAAGGATTAGGTAAAACATTGGTCGTAGGTATACACAAATCACAGAAACTAAAGGGAGATGTGAAAAGGGGGCGGGGCCGGTGTCGCAGCAATATGCCCAAAAACAGAACACATTGCTCGTTACATTGCTTGCGTAGTACTAAAGATTATGATTATTCGAACGTTGAGTACTGATACCGCATATCCATAATGAGCACATATTTTGATTTCTTTGTGTGTGTGAATTTCTAATGCAACACTCAGTTTCGAACTCAGCGCAGACATGATCATGTTTTCGTATAGCAACTGTGTGCTTACCATGAATTTACGTTAAGATATGCTCGCTACGCTCTATAATTAGGATGTGCTCGCTAGAGAGTTTGTCAAAAAATCTTAGTTCTTGAAAGTAGCTGCTAGGGGCGATATTTAATGACATTTTTATGCACACCTAACGTAAACTCGTGGTAATTGTACACTGAGATACGCAACGATTATTAACATTGTTTTATGGGGGTTTAAAACCACTTATTTGCGCCAGAACACTGTTTGGTTTTAAGTGAGAATGCTTCTTTGATTACATTTTCGGGGATCCCACACAACATCGCGGTCAGTGGATATTCATTACAGAATTTTCCACTATAAAAGGTAATATTTATTTAAAAGAAAATCTAGGACGACCTCAAATTGCAATTTCACTCAATCTGTAATTCAATACCTTCTTTTCCATCGTTCTACACATTGCTAAGAGTCAGACTAAAGGAAAAACTAATAATAAAAGTTACTTGCGGTTTTAACACTAGGTTAACATTTTAAACTATGTTCAACGCGTGTTTAACTTTTTATTGGTAATAGACTAAGATTGCTCTATCACCGGAGTGTGTTTTAAAAAATTAACGCGACCCATCCAGCAATTAACTAACTCATAAATAGCTGCTATAGTAAGGAAACAATGTATTTGTTGCATCCAAGTTTAACTGCGCAGTTAAGGGCCCTAACTGTTTATGGGAGCAATATGGGCCAAATGTGGCACTACTCATACTATGTAAGCCGAGGCTGGGATTAAAACGTTGCATTGGTTAATGACTACTGCGTGAAATAATATTGAAAGTTGCAAGAAAAATAAGTACCCACGTGTAAGAGTATTAAATAATTCGAGAGTAAATAGGCACTTACAGGGCAGATATCGTATCACTTAACACCAGGTGCGATTGCGGTCAAATACCTGCCTTGTTAAGCATAAAAAAATACTTAAGCCAAGAGAAATCACGAAACATTTTACACGAATATGCCTAACTACCAAACCATATCATAATTTAAAGAAACACCATTAGTTTTTGGAATCAGTAACGAATAGATCGAACAAACTATGCGACCATTTCCTACGGGAATCCCGGCTAAGACTACAGTTCTTCCTTTGTGAGAGAAGGCAATGTGACATAATTAAATGAGATCACTCATGTTCCTTCGAAATACAGAAAAAAAGCTAATAATTAAATAGTACCTACCCATGCTATTTTTATATAAGTATTTATTGAATAGATTTTTACCTCTTGTATGTTTGTTTTCAGTGAAAGACTCCAATTATTGAAAACAACTTACCGCCCACGTCGGGCTTCAGAAAATAATAACAGTTAAAAGCTTTGACCCAGGGCTGTCAACCAACGACATAGCGATACACGTGGTATATTTTAACCGTCAATTACCTAAGTATAGTATACCTAGGTATTGAATGTATTTCTAGTAAAAATTGTAGACCCTTATAAAGTACATTAATTAAAATTGCATAAAATGAAACGAATATTCCTTATCCCTTATATTAACTAACATTCGTCCTCTTTAAATTAGCGATCATTAAAAGTGAAACACTATGTTTATACAATAATTATGGCCACACTAAGTAATAGAGCTACATATCTCAGAGGTGTATTAAACAGAATCTGAATTCCGACTAATTTGTAGGGTTTCACAGATACATAACTGGAAAGATGACATAATGTAAGTAAGGAGCGCGTTTATCTCTGGTACATACGACAGCACATCAAGCTTAACCTTATATCATCATAAGGTGCTTTAAAGAAACAAAAAATTCAAATCGATGGTTCTCGCAATCGCCAGCCCTGCTCATGGCTAAATGAATCATGTTTTATGCCGACCCCCGCCCGCGCTAATCCCTCTAATAGTTGTTGAGCTACGGCCGGTGCATACCCCCCGATTTGAACGATTAGGAAGGTTGAATCAATTGAGAGCTGTCTGCTGGTGTATTTTGAAGCATGAGAATAATAAACATGGATTTTAATGGCTTGTAAAAAAACTAATTTTTGACAAGTGTTCTCTGTAGCTCAGTGCTAGAGAACAGTCACCCAGGAATAGTAAGGTATATACATAAGGTCGTAGGTAAGGCAAAATCACGATCTAAATGTTTTTATATCATCATCCTCTTTGTAATCAGGGCCGACCACAAATAAAATGGGAATGGGCCAGGCAAAGAAGAATAAATCATCTTCGTAATCATCAGGAACATTCTTCTCTGCAGGAGCTCGACTCTCTCCAATGTACTATCGGCAACAGTGTTAACTACCCATTGCCGGTCATGTCGTCGCGTTCTAATCGCAAAGAATCAACATTTGCCGAGAGCGAGAGCAAAAACGGAAAATAGTTAACAGTGTGGCCGTGTGTACAAGAGGCATCCCACTTAACATCAGGTGCGATTGTGGTCATACACCTGCCTTGTTATGCATAAAAAAAAGGATAATTTGGCCTACCAATCTCCACGCTGGCCAGACGTGTTGTGGAGGCCTCCATAAAAAATACGCTGATAAAAATACTATACAAATAAAAAGACACCTATCACTAAGATAGGTTTAGACAGGTACAGGTAGTCCAATAATCGGAAGGTGTAAATCCCACTGCTAATGTAAGTTGCAGTATCTGGAGATGTGCGCAGTAAATTAGCAAGCGTCCAAACTTGTGGTCGTAATAATCTTCAATCATTCGATTAATACACGCGTATGGATCCCTCGCAACATTGTGGCACCATAGGTATTAATGTACTTAGTATAATTTTACCAACCCCTATGGCCAGTGTAAAGAAGGCGCCTCAGGGAAATTAGAGGGTCGTGTTCTTCTGCAATAAAAACTAGTGACCTGATGATGGTGGTTATTGATATTTATTTACATCATCTGGAATCATTTATTAGAGTGTAGTATCCTACTTGAGTTCATTCATTTCAACCAAAATACGTCCACTGCTGGATTTCCACAACGACGGGTATTTATTTATTTACAACGACAAAATTCTACTAATATCTCGTAGAAAACGATTTAGGATTCATGGAAAGAAATAAGAATTATATCGCAGCTTCCGAAAGTTAAAGAACAAATCACTAAATCCAAGCAAAATATCCAAATCTCAGAACAACTCTACTACACTATTCCTACTAGCCACCCAAGGATGTAGACTCTACATTATCGAATTCACTTAAAAACCATTAAACTGAGTTAGCTGGGCTAAAACTAAAAACTCTAAAAGTACACAAATATCACGCTTCGATTCGTATTTATACACATAACCTCTACTTAGGGGCGCTCGAGTCGTTGAACGCAAAGTTACTCCAAACTCGCAAGAACACAGGTGCTAATTATTGCTGCGCTAACGACCGGCACATATAGACCCGCCCGTTCGTACTGCGAGCTGCGACCCAAACGACATTGCTCCTTCCTTGTACCCACCGTTCAATGGGGATGTTGCCTGGGTCAAAAA